CAGTTTTGTCAGTTTTCACTTCTTTTGCAAACTGTAGGTTTTCAGTTTTCAGTTTTCATTTCCAGAAACGGCATGCTTTCATGAAGTGCTTCAGAGAAGCACACGCAACAGTAGTGAGATGATCTTTCTCCCGATACACGGTGGATCAATATGGGAGGGGAGTTAGTTTTCTTTTAGATAGGAGGGGGGCGCCTTTCAAGCATCTTCGCGCAATGGTTCCGAATTATGGATGACAGGCTCTGGCGTCTCCTTGAGGATAGTGGATGCACGTGTGTGAGTGAACTTCGAGTGCATTTTGCCACCCCTTGGCACGTGGCTTGCTCAGTGGATAGCCTGGAAGATGCGATTGTCCTGGCTGAACAGGTTGTGCCCAAGGCTTCATCTGCTGAGCATAAGAGGATCGGTGGACATGTTTGGAAATGGATCTCAGATAACACTGACCTCTTGAGTCGGGTGCAAGCCCGACTACGTTCCAAGGCTACGAGAATCGAAGCGTCTGCTGGGAGTAAGGTCTCACCTGGGGAGGTCTTCGATCAACTCATGAGTGGGAGCCTCGAACTCTGCAAGCAGACGAGTCGTGCGCACTCGAGGTGGATCTCGAACGGGGCCGGGACTCCGGTCGAGGCGGAGAAAGCTGCGAAGAGGTTCTGGGGCACCGTCTTGGTGCAGATTATGGTGGAGGCCCGGCTTCCCATCGTTGAGATCGCAGTTGAGAGTGAAGAACAGCGAGTCATGTATGCTTTGCGTGCGCTGGGCACCCGGCGCTCTAAGACTTTGAGGAACCGGGCTAGGACCTGGCGCAAGGCTCGCGATTGGATACAGTCTGTTAAGGGTTATGTTTTCCCACGTTCTCCTGCGGATGTGGTGGACTACCTCATCTTCTTGGAGCAGGAGTCCGGCACCAAGAGTTGCATCGCCGAGTTTATGAGTGCCCTATCTGTCTTGGAGGATGCAGGGCAGGTTCCGGTTTCAAACCAGCTCTGCAAGAATCGCTTGGTTGTGGCGGCCTCCAAGGGCTCGGCGGCAGAGGTTCAGCAGGGGAAAACTGGTAAAAAGCAGGCCCCCCCGCTTTCAGTGGCGATGCTGGTTTCATTGGAAATTTTCGTGGTTTCGAATGACAACCCCATGTATGCGAGATGCACTATTTGGGCTTGCCTTTTATGCGTCTGGGGATGTATGCGTGTCTCTGATCTGCAAGGCATCGATGTTTCTAGGCTTAGGCTTTTTCGTGACGGCCTTAAGGGTTTCTTGGTGAAAACCAAAACCACCGGTGCTGATAAGAAGGTCGCTGAGGTCCCGTTCTTTGTGGGGCGGGACATAGGGTTATCAGGATGCGACTGGCTGCTTACCGGGTTCAACCTTTGGAAAGGCCTCGGGCAGCTGGACCGTACCTTCTTGGTTTTCCAAGCTTCTGCTGACTTTGAGGAACCATGTTTCAAGTTCGCCAAGCCGGAGGTCATCAGCAATTACATGCGTTTGATTTGGCGCCAGCTGAAGGTCCCTTTCAAGAAGCTAGGGGAACCCTCCTGGAAGCCGCGTTCGGAAAGGGAGCTGCTGGGAGCTGAGTGCTATCTCTTTTGGACTGGTCACAGCATGCGTCACGTGCTTCCGACAATCAATCGCGGTCTTTGGGGTTCCGAAGGAGCAACGTGATTACCTGGGTCGTTGGCATGTGGGTCTTCACCAAAGCTCTGACTATATTCATACCTGCCGTCAGATTGTTCACGACATTCAGCGTCGAGTGTGTGATAAGTTGTCGGGAGGCAAGCCAGGGTATGATGAAGAAGAGCTGTTTGAGGATTTCGGGACTTGGCTCCGTGAACGAGGCCTCGATCCCGAGCCCTGGGTGAAGCATCATGCCATCTTGAGAACGGTGAATGGCTGCAAGGTACTGAATCAGACGTGGCCGTTGCTGGGAAATTTCACGGATCGGCAAGACGATTCTGTCCCGGCCCCACCTGCTTCGAATGCCAGTCAGGATGAGAAGGAGTCACCTTTTTGGATTAGCATCAGCAGGCACTCTGGACATCGTAGGCTTCACATCAGGAACGGCTGCTAGGTAACTCCCGGCAGCTGCCACAAGTTCGCTGAAGTTTGGGAGGTCGATGCCTCGGTGGCTGATAGCTGATAGCTTTTGCAAGCTTTGATACAAGAACAAAGAGGGCTCGTCGTCGAGCTCGGGGGAATCTTCCTCCACGGATCTGGGTGAGCCCGCTAAAAGCGGTGAGGTGCACTTGCCGTCGTTCGGCTCATGACCTGAGCATGTCAGTCCGGATCGGTGAAAATCCGGGGCGATCGTGCATCGCTGCCAGCCACATGTCAGTTCAGCACTTTCAGTCGCAACCCCTTTCAGCAGTTCGCATTGTCAGATTGGATGATAATTTGTGCACTTCAGCTCTTTGCTCAGAAGCACGCTGTCAGACCTTCAGGTAAACAGATGTGACACACGCACATCTTTCAGTTTCCCCGCATGGGGTGTCAGCTCTCTCTGTAAAGGCCTTTCAGTCGTCAGGATTTGTCAGTTTCAGACTCCAAGACTCAGGAAAAGGCGTCATGTAATTTACATGACGACTTTGCAGCAAATGTTAGGCCACCGATCACCGGCTTTGTTAGGCTTCGCTAAGCTCAGTGCGATCGCCGATCATGGACCCGGCTGCGCAGCGCCGGTACCTGAAGGATAATGTTGATGCTGACTTCGTTTTCCTGCTTGAAGAGCATGGTGTCTTTGCAGTGTGCAATTGGTCAGCATTACAGAGCTCCTCGCCTTCGATTGCCTTAAGCAAGGACAGGTCTCTCAGGCACAGCTGAATCGACTTTCAGAGCTTTTACCGGACGAGGACAGGGTTCGTCAATCTGAGGACACCATCCAAGGTCAGAGATCTTTCACTTCTGGTGCGTTTGTCCACAAGGACAGGGCTGGAACCAGACGCAATTTGGATGCTTTCCCCTTTGCCTCGGAGCTCCTCGCGAGGCTGGTGGCCAGCAACTTCCCAGGACGGGTTTTCTCTTCGACTGCTTTTTTCAGGGATCTTAAGCAACCTTTGCACAAAGACACCACCAATGGTCGTTACGACAACTTGCTGCTTGCTTGTTCGGACTTCGTCGATGGGGGTCTATGGGTCCAATCGGACGCTGGCGACGTCGAACGACTTGTCAATGGTGTCCCGATGCTGGGAAAGAGTCTTGACTGGGAGGAACGCAAGATTGTCTTTAATCCTCACGTGTGGCACTCAACTGAAGACTGGGGTGGTTGCAGGCTGGTCCTAGCAGCCTACACCATTGGCAACGATGGTCTGCTCGCCCTCAGCGAGCGGGAGAAGCTATCTAACATGGGCTTTGTCCTACCGGGGCAAGGAAAGAGGGGGCCTCCCGATTCGGGGGGATCCTGCGAGGACGACGGGGCGATGGAGCACGTGGAACCTACGCCAGTGGGCGAGTCCCAGGTGGACGAACCCGGGGAGCCCGGGCCCCTCTTGGGGGATGCGACTGTGGAGGATCTGCCTTTTAGTGAGTTGAAATCCGGATGTGAGGGTCCACCTATGGTTGGAGACTTCGCAGGCGCTACAGATGAGTTCGTGGATGGATTCGGGCGCTGCTCACCTGGTAGATGGAAACCTTCGTGCCGAGGCCGATGTCTATCACCTGCTGCGGTTGCCTTCGCTAGAAGCCTTCGGGATAAGATTAGGCGGTTCGTTTTGGACAATGTTCCGGATCTCGCTAAGTCGACTTTTCGTCTGGCGACGGGACACTGGGAAGGACCCTTGTTTGCTTCAGGGCCTATGGATAAGCTGCGCGAGGAATGGTTCGACATGTTGCCGGATCCTTTGAGAGCTCGGGAGATGATACCACATCAGCCTTTCTATCTTCGGGCCATCGCGCAGACTCTCCGTATACTTGAGGACCCGGACTACCGCATCATAGAGGAGGGGAAGTTCTGCTTTTGCAATGGTGTTGAGGTTGGACACACTTCACCTCTGGGCCCCGTTCCTCAGGTCTTCCGGCGGCGACAGAAAGGTCAGAAGTACGATGATTCAGAGTGGGAGCCGTTGATGGGGAATTACCGTGATGGACCCGAGGTCGAGAAAGCCCTCTTGGAGGCCTTTGAGAAGGAGGAGGCGGAGGGACGGATGTTTCCCCTGTCCTTCGCTGAGGCGCGCAATAGGTACCCGGGCTCGTCATTGCGTATCGCTGCTCAAGCTGACATCCCGAAACCTGACCAAGAATTTCGGGTGGTCCACGACGGAACACACGGTGTTCAAGTCAACAATGAGATTGTCATGAATGACCGATTGGAGTCTCCGGGAGCTCGCGAAGTATCGGCCATCCAGAAACTTGGTTCGGTTGCATCTGGGAAAGTCCTTTTCGGTTTGGTCGGTGATGTTAAGAAGGCTCATAGGAGATATCTTCATCATCCCGAGCATTGGGGAGTCTTGGCTTGCAGATCGCGAACAGATTCCCCGACTGTGTGGTTAAATCGCACAGGGACTTTTGGCATAGCATCAGCGGCCTTTTGGTTCGCTCGCCTCATTGGCTTGGTCGGCCGCCTTTCTCTCAGAGTTTTGCTGGACGCATTTGTTTTCGCTCTCATTTACGCTGACGATTTACATTTGCTGAGCGGCGGCCCAAATCGCTGGTTAAACCTGTGGATGTTGTTGGCACTCTTTTGCCTTCAGGGTACGCCATTCTCTGAAAAGAAGCGGCGGGGAGGCCTTCAAGTTGACTGGGTCGGTTACTGGATTGATTATGGGCGCTTCAAACTTGGGATTTCAGAAAAGCGGTGTCAGTGGATCATCAGGTCAGTTGAAAGTATGGAAGGCGACGGCTGGCTTGTGGATGTTCGTCGTTTCCACGAGTTGCACGGAAGACTTGGATTCATGTCACAGGTTCTTGTCTGGATGAGGCCCTTTTTGGCGCCAGGTTATGCCTGACTCGCAGTTGTCAAGAAGGGAGCGGTGCTGGCATTGCCAAACTTGGTCCTTTGCACGCTGCGGTTCATTTTGGATCGACTGCGGAATGGCGCTCGCACCTACCCTGCAGGTCTGATTGATAAGGATTATGGCGAGCTCGTCAGAACGGATGCAGCTTGCAACGAGGACTCGGTGATCCTTGGGGGATGGTTCCTTCACAAGGGCGCAGGCTGCACCTCTGCTCCTTGGTTTCAGCTAAGGCTTGGTCGTGAAGAGACTCCCTGGCTTTTCAGAGAAGGGCTTGGGAGTTCCTGGGCGAGTACGTCGGCAGAACTGCTCGCCTCTCTTGTGGCCCTTCACCTCCTTGAGAGGGACTTCGCAGGAGTGCTTTCTGGTCCAGGGTCTTTCAGAGCTTGCTTTTCGGCTGGTACAGACAACAAGGCAGCAGATTCGATATCTGCAAGATTGCTCACGACCAAGGTGCCTGTGATGTTCGTTTTGATGGAGTTTTCCTATAGATGTGACACTTCGGGCGTCAGATGCCTCTTGAACTGGAGGCCTCGTGAGGCAAGTCAGGAGGCTGATAGGATCACGAAGAACGATTTTTCAGATTTCAGCGCCGACCTTAGGGTCGCTGTCAGTTGGGACGAGCTTCGCTTTTCAGTGCTTCCCTCTCTGCTGCGCTACGCAAACTTTCAGAGCACCTTGAATGATGTGCGTGCCGATACTGCTGGGGAGGCCACGGCTCTACCTCGTATTCGCTTCGAAAAGAGTCAGTGGGGATGACCGGACGACGTCTCCTCGTTGATGGGGGATTGATGCTTTCGACATCGTCCCTGTCACAGACATCTGTTGTGCAAGACGTGTGTGGGCTGTGCGGACCAAAACATCTCGAACCGTTTGCGCTTGCTTCTCTCCTTTGCCCCTCCTTTCCCGAACCCTAACCTTTTGAGCCCTTCGGGCAAACAAGTGCACCTAACAGCCTCCAGGGTACAAGCCCTGCTTGGGTAGTGAAACGGACCAGCCTGGGCTCGAACCGGATCTCCACGCGATCCAGGCTGGGAAGGGGTAGCTAGGACTCCTTGCGAACATGTTTCGGACGTGCTGGTGCTTTGTCGGCGCCTTTCTTACGTGAACTCTTAGACGAACCAACGT